CATTTATTTTGTTACGCGCGAAACGCTTGGGAATTATCCCGCTGTGTCTGTCGGGACAATCTTGAGACAGTATTTACGGAACGAACATGTAGGCTTTGCGGGATACGTAAGAACGTATTTCTGAATCTAATGACGTTTCTATAGACTGTATATTATTTCAAGAAAGAGATCGCAAGTTAAGCTTCCTTTTCACGCCTACAAGATTTAATAATCCAGAAGAAGAGAAAAAGAAAATGAGAAAAAAACTGGACACATATATATAAATATATACCGGTTTCTATATACATATATATATATATATATATGAGAAGGCGTGACCTCCTTGGAAGAATTTAAGCTACCGTCCACACTCATTATACAGCATCCTTCCTTCATTTGTTGCAATCTTTGTCAGTCTCTTCGATATGACTCTCGCTACTACCACCTTCATCGATCTTACCTTGGAATCTCGAAAACTGCGATAAGAAAGTGACAAACGATGATTACTCCACGTACTTTAACCTTCATGGATATCCGGTCTCATCCGGAACGACAGAGTGTGAATAAAAAAAAAATTCACGGTAAATTAGTCTATAACGAATATCTGCGTAAATATTCATTATCCCTCTTTCTCGTCAGTGTTAATATATTCAGTAATAAAGTTTCTACCCACTTGTCTCAACCTCCTCTTGTGAAATTGATTTACTTTTATTCAAAAAGAAAAAAAAAGTTTTATTCACTCTCGTATAGTTTATATTGTATTACAGTCGAACCCACCATTAGGCGAGATTATCGCTTGTTCAGGTTCCACTGTACCTATTTTAGTAAATATTATTTTTCTACCAGCTATATAAGTCTAGAAAGCATTTTAAAAAATGAAAATATAGTAAATTATTTAAAATATTAATGACAGTCGAATTATCAGAAAAGCGATGTACTCTTTTTTCAAGATTTATAAATACGGCACTGGGAGGAGAGATGCTAGCCGAGAAGAGGATATTCTTATGAATCGATGAAAGAATCGCGAGCATGCGCATCGTAATCTTAATAACTCATGCTATACCACCCCTATATACTGATATCATCCAACCCTCTTTGTATATATGCATATACATATATATGACCCATACAACAACATATGAGAAAACTATATACAAATGCCATTATAATATGTAAGAAGCGAGACAAGGGCAACGCGTCCGCGAACACGACAGCCAAGCATTCCGCACATTTTACACCGACACTTGGACAAAATATGCATCTACGAGCTAAGAACTATATATATATGTGTGTAATGCTGCGTATATACCATATCAAATACACGTGGCCTTTACTTCCACTCAGTTGCCTGTAAATATCCGCGAAAGTTTCAATCGAGAAAATTATTTTTTATTTCCACTATTTTGAATATAGATTTATCAGAAAAAGATTTCTTTGTTGCAACGAATTTATGGATTTTAGAATTTTAGAGATGTGTCTAATTTTTCATTCCTAACCTGACCTGATTTAACATAACATAACTTATCTTAACGTATAACTTAATCTAACTTATCTTAACTTAACTTGACTTATTTTAGCCTAACTTAACGTATCCTACCTTAACCTTGAATTAAGCTAACTTAACCTAACCTGTAGCCTAACTTATTTTAACCTAACTTAAATTAAGCTAACTTATCTTCACCTAAGCTGGGACCTAACCTAACTTATCACATCTTAACCAAATCTAACTTATCTTAACCTAACCTATAGTCTAACTTATTTTAACCTAACCTAACTTATCCTATCTTAACCTAAATTAAGCTAACTTATCTTCACCTAACCTATGGCCTAACCTAACTTATCATATCTTATCCTAACCTACCTTCACATAACTTATAGCCTAACCAAACTTATCCTATCTTAACCTAATATAATTTAACCTTATTTTAACCTAACCTAGCCTAACTTATCCCAAACAAACTTTACCTAACCTCAATTTCTGTCCCTCCCTAGCCTATTTTCCAAACCTTAATCGGATCTACTAATCATTCTTATTTTACCACAGGAAAAAAATCATTTACCTCCAAGCTAAATAAACATTTATTTGTTTCAAATAAATTTAATTTGTTATAACAAACAAAATTTTTATTTTAAAATAGTTAATTCAAGTATTTTTGAAAAAGAAAATCAAGATGACTTAATCAATTTACAAAGATAGTAATTAATGAAACACGACTAATTAAGAATTACAGATGTAAAAAAGAAGCTTGTGGACAAAAAATAAATAAGAAAAAGATACACCAAAACACACAAGTCAAACAGGAACCAAGCGCTAAATTATTTCTGACGCAAATTAACGATGGATAGGTAATAACGGGCTCGCGGTGAATGGAAGAGAGAGAGTGAGTGAGTGAGAGAGGGCTCACAGTAATCCCGACGTATTGTTTCACCGACGGAAGTCACTCTTTTATTACGAGACACTTCCTGTTCTGTCGCAGCCCCACAGAGAGACGACGACGACGATTTTCAGTTGTATATATTATATGAGTTTTTTTACGCAGGTATACATATATATATGTCCGAGAGTGATACCTATGTGATGGGTACACACGCAATCTGTTGAGTAATTAGGGGGCCAAATTAATTTCTAAAATATAAAAGAAAAAAGAAATAAAATAAAAGAAATGATTATATCAACTATTTTATGTACATATATATATATAGACTGAGCGCTATATTTAAAAGAAAAAGTCAACGAGAGTGACAAAGAGAGAAAGACAAGAACTCTTTGACTGTGCGAGAGTATGTCTACGTTTTCTACCGCTTCGCTGACCCTAATTGCGTCCCTCGAATTCCGGTAATTATCATAATTACTCTGCTGGTCACACCCAGATCGACATTCTCATGTATATATATATATACATGCGGACCAACTTTTGCTAAAAGGAGAACGATTTTCGTGACTTTGGTTTCTTTTTTCTTCAATGCGAGAGGCTGCACACAATGATTGCGAATTTTTTTTTTTTTTTATTGAAAATAAAAATTACTTTGCTGTGATATTAAAATTTCGCTTCTACCGTGAAATAATTTCAAAAAAAAATCTTCAAATGAGAAACAAAAAAAATTAAATATATAAAATACACTTTCAATTGTTATTTTTAAAAATTATTTCACAATACACGTGTCATACATAATTAGATTTCCATTGGCTAATTGTCAAGGTTAAATAAATTGAAAATTCTATTCATTAGAGAGAAAAATATATATGTGACAATACAACAATAGTTAAACTAATTAAAAAAAATATACATTTTGTAAATTTTATGACGTAATTAAATATTACAGTTAAAAACACCTTTGAAACACTTTGTCTTCTTTTATAAATGAATAATGTATATAATTATTTAATTTCATCTCGATATGAATCTATATTATAATTAGTTATTTAAAAAAAAAGAAGAATAGTAAAAAATAACCTATAGAAAATCTAATAATATTTTAGACAAAAAAAATTATGTCACCGTAAATGAGATTTGTTATTTCCATATGACATATATGTAAGTTATTACAATTATCGCAATATGGATCTATTACGCAAAAATTAATCTAGATGCGATGTGGCGCCAGAGGCCACGTGACTGACGCCAGAATTCTTTATAAAGAAGATGAAGAAAAAAAAGAAGAAGAAGAAGAAGAAGAAAAGTCATTGTTCTCATGAGATGCTATTTACTAAAACTAGAAGCACTCAGACTAGAACATTTTTCTTTTTTTCTCTTAATTAATTATTTTGGGAATTAATTATATCTAAAAGTTCAATGGTTAAGGACGTGGTCATATACTGAGAGAATGTCCTCTATTGCCCTCCCTCCCCCCCCCCTTTTTCCAAAATGTGTGTGGCACATTATAAGTTTTTCCGGCGGTTAATTTCGCTCGCGATAGCAATAGTTCAGTCTTCTCATTTCCTCTTTCCAACACGTATGACCCGTACAATTCTGCCCTCTCACATTCACCCCCTCGACGAGACCAAACTAAGAGCAGCTAAGAGTTGGTAGGAGCGTCTCTATGGTTAATTAAACGCATAGATCACCCTTCTTTACTTCTCTTCATTCTCATTCTTTTTATTTTCTTGCTTTTTCTCTCTCTCTCTCTCTGTTTCTCTCTCCTTCGTCCATTCTGCAACCCTATAAGAGAACACACACTTTTCTCTAACTTTATAAACCCACACGTTCGCGGATAAATCCCAAGACTTCATACAAACACTCGAAATTCAATTATATATAAATATAATTATATATAAATAAATAAAAATGTTTCAATAAATATTTAAGAAAAAATTATACCTTTTGAAAATTTTTGCATAATCATTTATATATATATATATTCAAAAACAATTTTAATTCAATTCGAGTTTACTTTCCAAGTTTATACAATATTTTGTTAATTTAATTTTATTCTAATTGTATTAATTTTTAATCAACTTTATATTTTTTACAATTCAATTTATTTGTAATTTTAATTTATATCACATTTATTTTTAATTAAATTTAGTATTTATTTTTATTAAAATAGATTTAGTTTTAGTTCAATTTATTGATAATTAAATTTATTTTTATAATATAATTTTTTTTTAAAACAAATTTAGTAATAATTCACATTTATTTTTAATCAAATTTAGTTAAAATTGAGTTTATTTTTAATTGAATTTAGTTAAAATTAAGTTTATTTTTAATTGAATTTAGTTTTAATTAAATTTAGTTCTAATCAAATTTATTTTTAAACAAATCTATTTATAATTAAATTTATTTACAATATACATTTATTTTCAACAAAAATTTACTTTTAATTAAATTTACATTACCCTAAATTTTCTTTAAATTAAATTCAAAGTGTCTAAAAAAAAAATTCAAAAACAATTAACAGCAGATCTAATACAAAAAATTTTTTTTTAAAAATTCTATCCAATTTGAAGATTTAAAAAAAAAAATACTATGAGTAGGTGAAAATGTTTAAACAAAAAAAAAAAAAATAATTTCTGTTTCCAGATTCAATCGTGGGATTAGAAGTAGCTACGACAGCCTGGTTATCTTTATAGCCATCGTGCCTGAAGAATGTTAGACACGCGCAATGTCATTTCATCCGCGCCACCACCTGCGACGAGAATCAATTTAGAAAAGGTAATTCAAAATTTTTAATATTATAGAGAGATAAGGTCAATGGCTTTGGATATACATATATATATAAATGTATATTGAAAAAGAAGAACCCCTCTACTATCAAGATTAATTCTATATATATGGTATACAAAAAAATTGCTTTTTCCATTTATCAATTAAAAAAACAATAATATTAAATTTTTTTAAAAATTCGGTTTAATTCTACAGTGCGAAAAGTGGGTTTAATTTTTTAAATTCTGATTATTGATCGAAAATCACAAATAGAGATGAGATTTGTGCGATGATCGCGGAGACAATTTTCTTTATCAGCCGCGTGTTTCCATTAATTCGCGTCGCGAGTAACTCGTGCCGTGGAATGCTTGTTGAAGTCAAGAGAGAGAGAGAGAGAGAGAGAGAGAAAGATAGAAGTCGTTAAGCTGCGTGCCGTTCGTGGCCAACCGGTTTCCTCGGGTTATTCGTCGTTAATTCGCTAGAGGAGAGTAAGTAATCGCGCGAGAGAGTTCCTTCTGACCACCGCGGGAGCGAGTGAATTTCCAGCGAGTACACTCCTCTCTCGACACAGTGTCGCGTAATCCCAAGCGAGGATCGAGACACTGTCAGTTAAGTAAAGTAATCGCCCTCTACAAAGCGAGAGATATTGCCTCGCTTCGTAATAGTCACCCATAGGATACTATCTTCTTTCCCCTCCTCTCGTTTTCACGCCTTATAGATCGAGAGAGAGAGGGCTCTTATAAAAAAAAAATTAAATCCCCCCCTCCCCTTTTTTCTCGCGACTTGCATACAAAATTACCCACTCGCAATTGCAGGAACCTCGGTCTCGATTTCAATCGACGCAAAAGCAAAATCGTAAATAGGAGATTTAAGTGTTCGTTAACGATCAATAAAAGAGTCACAAAGATTCTTATTTATAAAGCCACACTACGATTCAAAGTGTAGACTATATCTTATTCTCATATATATATATATATATATATAAAAACAACCCTTCAAAAAAAAAAAAAAAATTCTTTCCTATAAATAAATTTTGATAAAGGATTAAAAACTCACCGATTAGGTTCGCCAGCATAGAACTGGAGTCTCTTCCTGTAACATAAAGGAAATGTATATTAATGAAAATTGTCCCAGTAAATTCTGATAACATTTTCCCTACATGAAACTTTTCTTAAATACATATATATATATATATATATATATAGGTAATCAAATTCGCTGAATGGAATCAAATCTACATGAAATTAACCACTAATGAAAATCATCAAGTTTAAAATTATAATGAGTGTGCCAGTGACTCATGCATACAAAATTGCGAACGGTATACGAGAGAAAGTGAGAGAGAGAGAGAGAGGGTTATTATATTTCGCTTTACCGAATACGGAAACTTGGGTATAATTTTGAGCAAATAAGCAGCAATTATTTAAGGGTGTGCATGTACAAATAGTGCAGCGACAATACGTTATTAAAGCCCTGTTCATATTGATTCACGCATATATTTAAACTTAAAAATAATTTTTGTTTTTTTTTTTGCAAATAATTGTAAGCAATTTTTTCCCAATTTTTTACAATCTTGAAATTCTTGGAATTTTCAGTAAAAAATAAGATCAATTTTAATTATTTATAATTTTTAAATTAAAATTCTTGGTATAGAATTTCCTAATAAAAATTGCATAACAATATACTCTCTAAATTTGAATCAGTGAATTTCACTGCTAACCAGTTATGAGTATACCAAACCAGTGAAATTTGACTGATTGGTTCAGTGAAATTTCATTGGTTTGGTATATGTACTTATAACTGGTTAGCAGTGAAATTCACTGATTCAAATTTAGAGAGTAATATAGATTAAAATTTTATACATTTAATTCGTAGGAAAATTTAATTTTGAATAAAATCTAATTCATATAGGCAAATTAAATTTACATACAATTTAATTTGTCAGACAAATTATCGAAGTTACTTTTTTTTCTATATAGAAGAAATAGAGTAACAGAAACCTTTGCTGAAGAAAAGAGCAAGATTTTCTCGAATGTGTATTTTTGTGTGTATATATATATATATATATCAGAGACGTGTGGGTACCAGTAAAAGTGCACTATCGAGGGGCTTGGGGCGATTATGAGCGAGTAAGTGCCGCGCCGTCCAGTTTTTACCCCCCTTCCCTCATTTCCGCGACTGCCCTCGACTTTTGCCCTATACACCCTCTTACCTCGACTATACTAAACCTCAACGGATCAATACGCTAAAACATTGCCACGTCGAGAGAAGCCACTCTCTCTTTCTCTAAAAAGAATTTTTTTTTTGTTTTTTAATTTTATTTCCATTTTATATCTTTGAAAACAAAGGTATTGAAATTATTTTTGATGTGCTTCAATTAAGACACCGTTGCGGGACACCTGTCCGCCACTATAGTTTTCTAGAGGCAATAATTATACTGAATTGTTTTTTTTTTTTGTTTAGAAACTAAAGGTCGACAGGTGAGACTTGATTATATCCGTCCTATAAGCCTTGGTGTAGAAAATTAAACTACTTAAAATTATTGTAGGATCATTTTCTTTTAGGTAGTTCCCTTAAAGTGTTTGGAGAGATTTTAATCCGTTGTTGAAGAGAGAAATGAATTCAATGGATTATCACTGTACCTATCTGGCAATGGGAAAAAATGTAATTATAATAAAGAGAATTACGAGACTTTTAATTATATAAAAACTGTTATAATTGAAAAATATATTAGCTAAAATAACATTGTCATTAAAATGAAAATAGACTCCAACTTGCACTGATGACGAATTAGAGCAACTTTGAGACGCTTTCCATATTCAATATAAAAATTAGGAAATTAGAAAAGGAAGAGAGGAATTAGGATAAAGAATAAAATTTCTAGATCATTGAATAGAAAAGGATTTCAAGAGGCAGAATGTCCGAATAGTGTCCCTGTCCTAGGACAATCCAAGTTAGGCTCCCGTTGGCCAAACCTCCTGATGTTTACACCCTCTTATGTTTACGGAGTTCTCCCTGTGCGATCGATATATTGATTGTCGACTACGACGACCGGCTGGTCGACGACCACAAGAGGTGGTATGTCTACCGGTAGTCACTTGTTGCCTACCACCCCCGGGGGTTGGCCTTGTCCCTCTATGTTTAGGAAACGCTTGTCCAAGTACCGCAGGATTCATAGTCAGTCAATAAATGGTTTGGCTAGGTTTTTTGTCATAGGGCCATTATTTTTTCTTCCCTCAGAACAATATATAGCACCTTAAATTATTATTTTTTTTTTAATCCTCTTGTCAAAATTTTACTAATTAAAAAATTTTAAATTATAACCAAATAGATAAATCAATGAAAACAGATCTAAATTTACTTAGGGATTTTAAGAAAAACAAGTCAAAAACAAATCTTGTCTTAATCTATTGAGCAATCATTGAAAATATATTTTTCAATGATAATCATATATACAAAAAAGGAATATTTTCGTATATTCTTTATGTTTTTATAAGAAATACTATCGGGCTTAAGGTATATATACCGATAAGAGAATAAGGGATCACTGTGATAAGATATATTTGAAAAGGTAGATGAGAGCTAAAAGATCATCACATAAACTTAAGAAGACTCTTTGTTCAGATGATATAAGTAAATTTAAATTTCCTCATCTTAGCGAAATCTTTTGATCTGAATGAACAATCAAAGTCTGTTCAAGTCATAAATATAGTCACTATATGTAAATATTACATTTGCCATTGAAAAAAATGTAAAATTGTCCAATATAAGTTCTATCAAAGGTAAATCATTTTGAGATAATCTTTATCAAAATTCAAAAAGGACTTATTGTATAAATAGCCGATAAAGGTTTTTTTTTTTTTCTTTGGGGACAATAATCGAAAAATAACGAACATCTCGCGGCGTCTAAAAGTAAATACAGGCGTCGCAAACGAAGAATAAATTCTTATAATTTTTATCTGTGAGGCATATATTGTATTTAAAGAAAAAGACCGCGCAACCTTGTTGCACTGAGGCGATAATCATGGGGTCTTTCTTATATGATAGAGAGGTCCAAACAACCTATCTAATTTTTATATATATGGTTCCCGGAAAGGTTTTTATATGGTATATATATATATATATATATATATGTTTACCCAAGCTGTTATGTCGGCTCTTTGTTACGAATCTTCCTAGAATCAAGAATGTGAACTTTTCAATAATTTTTGTTCTCCGGCCCACTTTCGTAATTACTTGGAAACACTTTTAGAACTAATTAAGGCTCTTATTTTTCGCTTTTAGGCCAAGGTTATCAATTAGTTAGTTTTTTTTTCTTTTTAAATACAAAAGTAAAATTTTGGTCAAATTTTCTTATTTATGCGAATATGTTTTTTTTTTCTCCCATAAAAAAGGGGAAAAAAAGTGGAGAATATGTGAAAATGCAGTGTTTTTAGATTTATTATAGGTTTATTATAGGGATCTTTATGAATAAGTGTATACACTCGTATGAAGCGTGGAGTAGAATAATTGCCACTACGCTGAAAATGTGAAGATAATTATAGACAAAGCACAAATGTTCTCTTAAACGATCTCTCTCTTGTGCTTGAGATGCGAAAAACCATCAAAGAATATAATGTTCTTTCTCTTGTTTTTGATCCTATATTTAAAATGCGGCCTATAGAGGAATCAACACAACGTTGTCGATGATCGTTTATAGAAAACGCCATATAAAAATATATATGTGAAACGATAGAGCGACCATTTGGGACATTATATAATCTTTAATTTCACCGTTGTCGACCGCGCGCGTCTTAATCCCACTATTATATCTAATTGGTCGACATTAGCTAATATCCTCGCGTGTTGTAAGCGCACTTGTACATCTTTTTTTTTTTTTTTTTTTTCTTCTTCCAAGTTTACGTGTGATATCACGTTTTGCCAATGAAAATAATATTTAACGCAACGAAAACGAGTTTCTCTGGATAATTTCTCTTCCCGCACGAATTAAATATAAATCAAAT